GCTGCCCACGTTAGTGTGCATATCGAGCTCTTTCTCAGCTTGACGTAGTCCATGCATGAGTTCACCATTACAAATGGTGGTGTTGGTGCAACCACTGTCCATGATGACGTGATCAAGCAAACCAAACGGATCTCTTTCGATTCTGCAGCTTTGAATAAACTGCATACCTCGATCTGCTTCAGTAGCAAGATCAGGCAAGTCTTCACTTTTACTAGCGTAGTGCCAGTCGGATTGAAGTTTGACGTTAGTCGTTCCAGCAGGACATGGGATAAGATAGACATCATTGCCATTCTCATCCTTTCTCTTGATAGCATCGTGAAAGACATTTGACGTATCAAAATAGCCAGTCTTCACAACTTGCGGAGTTCGAGCTTGAGTTGCATCAAATCCTTGGCGCACTTGAGCACCACTGAAGCCTTGTTGGCTGAGTTGCATTCCACTGAACGCAATTTCACCGTTATCATTCATAGAATAAGGGACAGTAACAGTGCCGCCACCTTGAGTTGGTATCTGCATGAGCTGCATTCCCGAAGGAACTTGCATCATTTGATTACCTGTAGTACCAGCAATTCGCAAAGGTGTAAATTATCCTTTGGTAAATGTGCTGCAAGATGTGAGGGAAACTGAAAAGGCCCTCAGTAAAAAGGCCTGTTTACACTGTTGCATCAAAGAAAAGAACGGAAGAGATCGTTTGGCTTTTTGTTGGGGACAGAACAAAGATGACCCAAGCCGAAAAGAAAAAGATGAGGGACTTCTCCCATTTCATGAGAAGACAGATCAAGAATGGAAGACGACTCCCATTGGGAAAGAAAGCACGATTGGAACAAATTGGATTCTTCCGTAAATTCCCAGTGGACATTGCAGAGGCAGGAGGTCTGCACATGAATGAAGCTAAAGCATCTATGAAGCAACGCGAGGAGACTCATCGGAGACGCAAGGCTCTTTCCTCCGGTTTGTCTGGCGGTCTAAGGGCCGTTCAAGTCGAACTGGAGGACAGCTCTGGCAATTGTCGGTTACAGACCATTACTGACCCGACGTCGGTCGAAGATGGATGCATGCAAGAAAATAGGGCCCGGTACCAACAAACCCAGACCCCACATCCAACTCCTCCCATGTCTGAGCCACTCTACACTATGTTCACGGGCCCTGACGCCGACAACAACCAACAACTTCTTCTGGAGGGCAAACTCCCCATCCCTGGTGGCCTGGCTTACCCTACCCAAGCCTTCCTTCGCCACTGTCGACTGCACGACAGTTACCGGCCAGGTCCTTTTCCCTTGACGGTTGAAGAGCACGTGGACTTTTGGAGTCGCACCCCTGAGAACAAGGGTTCTGAGCCCCACGGCCTCCATAATGGCCACTTCAAGGCAGGCGCCCTTTCGGAATTGTTGGCTTCTTGTGATACGGCGTTTCGGGACCTTCCACTCCGTTCAGGCCATGTTCCGGAACTCTGGAAGAACCTGATGAGCTTTGCGATTGAGAAGAAGCCTGGCGACTTCCGCCCACAAGGGATGCGGACCATCCAGCTGTTCAACTCGGAGGCTCAAGCCAACTACAAGAAGGCGGGTCGGGCTGCAATGAAGAATGCTGAGGAGGATGACATCATCCCTAAAGGACAGTGTGGGTCACGAAAGCAGCACAAGTCCATTGATCTAGCCCTTTCCAAACGATTGATCTGGGACTCGCTCATCCTGGAACGACGGTCTTCCGGCTGGATCTCGAACGACGCGAAGTCTTGCTTCGATCGCATCGTTCACTGGGTAGCGAAGACGGCCTTGCGGAGATTCGGCCTGCCGGTCACTGTCACCAACCTAATGTTCGATATCTTGGCAAAGGCTAAACACAGGGTCCAAACTGGCTTTGGCGACTCAGATTGGACCTTTGGGCCCACTGGCGATGTTCCCTTCCAGGGCTGCGGTCAAGGCAACGGCGCAGGCCCGTGCATCTGGGTTGCAATCAGTGCCATCCTCATTGACGCCATGGAGGCCGAGGGATTTGGGTACAAGAGCCAAACTGCCCTCACCAACGAGGAGTTCTTTGCTTCGTGCCTCTGCTTTGTTGATGACACCGATGTCATGGAGTCCAACGACAACGTGGAGGCGACTGGCGAAGACCTCCTTCCTTCGGTACAGTCGGCTTTGGACCTTTGGTCGGGTGGCATCAGTGCCTACGGTGGAGCTATCAACCCGGCAAAGTCCTTCTGGTGGCTGATTGATTTCAAATGGAGGCCGTCCTCTGGCACATGGGTGTTTCGAAGGAAGGCCAAAATGCCTGGCAAACTTACCCTCCAAGAACCTACTGGGCTTTGGGCGACACTATGACGCCTCCAACCAGATGAAGCTGAAAGGACCGTGGGAGTCATGATGGCCCCACTTGAGACTGGAACTGCACAACACCTTGCCCTGCGGGAGAAGGCCAAGAACTGGGCAGCCAAGTTCCGTCCCCAACATCTACTTCGCTATGACGTTCTTCCCTGCTCAAGGCAACCGCCCTGAAATCTTTGGAGTACGTGATGCCCCTTTCCACACTGGGCCGCTCCGTCTGGACACTTTGTGACCAGCTACAACTGGCCCCAAACTCGACGCCCTGGCCCCTCTCATTGGGACCTATGGCGACGCGTCCTCTCTCAAGCCGTTCTCCGCCCCTACAGCCGCCGTCGCCGATTGTTGCAGCCCCTCGGACCGTGGTCTGATTCGCTAGACCGATGGACCTGGCTCTTCTCTCGCACCGCTTTGATCCTCTTCCATCGGACGGACAAAAACCTGGCAATCTACCGACCCATCAACTCGCGTTCCCATAAGACCTTCCGCAGGGATCTTCACCACACCTGGACGGGCGCCCTTCCCGGGGACGTCCAACGGGCCTCAGTCAACCTTCACCCACGGACAGCCTACGTCACTGTCATGGGCACGGCCCCTGTAGATCCGCCAGATCAGGAGTCCTTGCCAGGCTCGATCCTTCACATCTGGAGGGAATTGGCACCCGACATGGACGACGATTGGGGATGGTCCCGGAATACATCTACATTGAGGGTGACGAACAAGTCCTACTGGAGGCACTGGAGAAGGGAAAGCTACAGGTGATCAGCGATGGCTCCTTCAAGCAACAAGTGGGCACAGCCGCAGTCCAGCTAAGAACTAGACATGGAGGGCACGTCATCTGGATCAAGTGCCTTACACCTGGTAAACGAGAGGATCAGAGTGCGTACCGGAGTGAACTTATCGGTCTGTTAGCTGGTATCTTGGTGGCTTCTTGGCTCCGCCTACGCCTACAGTCCCTCGCCAAGCTACGAGTCCGTGTGGCGTGTGATGGGATTGCCGCGCTTTGCCAGGCCTTCTCGACTCGGCCGCTGTCTCCAACCGCCCCACACTTCGATCTCTTGTCCTCCATCCGCGAGGCCCTCCGAGTTTCCAACATATCCTGGGTCGAACAACACGTGGGCGGCCATGCTGACCGAACCAAGACATGGCGATAGATGTCTTGGTGGGAACGACGGAACTCCGAGGTGGACGACATTGCCCAGGGCTACGCCGACGAGCTGATCGCCACCGACGACACGATCGCCACCAACCCCCAAGTTCTTCTCCGAACCCTGTGCGATCTACATTGACAACGAGAAGGTCTCCTGTCTGGCCTTGGCATCGGTCGACGAAGCCGTTGTCCTGCCGGAATTGATGGAATACTGGGCAGCCAAAGGCCGCCTCGCTCCCGAACACTTCCGATCGGTGGACTGGCCGATAGTGCACCGAGCGATGAAGTCTCTGAAG